GGGGGGGGGGGGGGGGGGGGGGAGGGGGAGGTGCTACGTTAAGTACAGATCTAAAAGGTTTTACTAAGTAGAATTGATATAGTCTTTTTTTTTTTTTTTTTAACCCCCCCCCTTTTAAAGGCACATTATCCCCTTTTTTTTTTTTTTTTTTTTTTTTTTTGGTAATTATTTTGTCTGAGAAAAGAAGCTGCTCCAGTCCCACGGGGCACAGATTCAGTAATTAGAATGAGGAGGCCACAGGCTGTGTGACACCCTGGGTCAGACCAGACAAGTCTGTCTGGTCTCACTACAGGAGTCAGTTTGGCTTTAGAAGGCCACACACATACACACACACGCACGCACGCACACAAGCGCAGTGAGAGAACAACAGATGTGAAAGGAATCACTGAATTGGCAATGTTGAAAAAGTAAAAACAGAACAAGCTGAGGGCATTACCCTCTCTTTAGTGTGGGGGTCAGCTGAAAAAAAAGCAGTGTGTCTGTGGGAGTGTGTGTGTGTAAGCAGTCGTAGTTTGAGCCTCTTGTGAAGATATTGTGAACCTAAAAAGGAGCCTTGGGACACACCGGGAAATACACGTTCGCCCCCAAATCAAGCAGACAAGACGAGCACAGAAAAGCAGTCCTGCAGGACGTTTTTTTTTTTTTTTTTGTGTAAAAAAAACTGAAGGGGGCCACACAACCTGCTGCGTGTGTTCGCATTTTAGCTCGCAACCTTAGCGGCACCGCGGCATGGAGGCGAGCGCTCCTCACAGACGGTGGAGGAATCGGTAACAATGAGGATTTTCACAATGTCGCATATTGACGTGTGTGACAATAATAAAAAAATAAAATAAAAAAAATGCAATTCACATGACTGCATTTTTTTTTTACAGTCAGAATCATTTCGTTTTGAGAGAGAAGAGTTTAATGATAAGGTGGATACGGTTGTGTTTATACGTCTTATTACGTATAATCTGTTATCCATATCCTCAAAATACTACAGTGGGTGTCCCCGGTTTACGATGTAATCTCCGGCGTTTCGTGGTTACGTCAACATCGGTCATAAATTTATTACAAAAGTCCTGCTCTAACATTCCGACGTACGGCTTTAAAACTAATTTCACAGGGGAACTAGATGATGAGCAGAGTGGAAAAATACATCGTCACGTTTATATTCCCCGGTTGTGTGTTGTACATTGGATTGTGCTACATTCACTATGTTCTTTTTTTTGGGGGGGGGGGGGGGCTTCTTTTGGGTCCCCGGCGGAGTCAGACTCCTCTGATGTTTCCATGTCCTACATAAAGCATGGGCAAACTAAGGCCCGGGGGGCCAGATGCGGCCCGTTTAGCTTTTTAATCTGGCCCGCCAAACTTTTCCAAATTATATAATTTATTTATATTATCATTATACTATACTTCTGCCTTTTCCTTGCAATTCACACATTTCCCCAATAGATGGCGTAAAAAATGATAAAAAGCATTTTAGCATTTTAACATTTATGCATGACTTTTACATTCATTCACACTTACGCTCCATCTATCTGCTCCTGACCCCCCCCACCCCCTTGTTCAATTTTAGGACAACTGTGGCCTGCGAGTCAAAAAAGTATGCCTTGGATCAAGTTTCAGTTCATTATTTTAAAATCAAAACGTCTGAATCACAAGAACAGAACTCTGGACACAGAGCCAAAGGAGCCGAGCAACAGAACAGACAACTTGGGCCAGGAAAGAAGCACCGAGAGGAGAACACTGAACAGACAGAGTAGATGGAGCAGAGGACAAGGTAAGGAGAAACTGGACAGACGTAGAGGACAGAGGACGTGACTCGGCCAGATGAGATACACAACACAGAGCTAGAACAGGTAGGGAGCCGAGTACGGAAAAAAAACGATGGAGAACAGGTAGGTGTAACACAGGTGGAGCAGAAGGACAACTCAGCCACTAGAGGCCACTAGAGGTGCACCGATTGCAATTTTTGGGCCGATTCTGATTTCCGTTTTTTGGAGTTCTGCAGATGATTACTGAGGAAAATGTGCTACTAATAGATTAATCGGACTTAAAATTAAAAGGACAAAGGACATTGGACGAAATCTGCACAACACGCCGTGACTCACCGCTCAACGTCCCACATGCGAAGTGGCGAGAGGTTCTTACAGCAGGCAGTTCCCGTCACAAAGGTGCTGCAGGATAGACCATAGACACATGGGGGGAAAAAAATTACAAAAAATGTAAATAAACAGCAGAAGGATTTTTTTTAACTTTTATCCCCTAGAAAAAGGAATTACCTCCTCTCTATGCATCATACATTCGTAAATTAAAATTTTACATTGATTTTTTTGTTTTTTGACAATGTCTTTTTGTGCGATTTCCTCATGTATTTTTTATTATTATTTATACATATTTTACTGTTATCCATTGGTAGAGGCATCGAAAAAGCGTTTTTTCACGTGTTCCAACACTGTAAATGATCAAATGGTTCTTCATAATTTTGTATTGTTAACTGTGCAAAAAAAATAATTTTAAATAAATAAAATTCTTTCTAAAATTATTCTCAGTTCTTACATACTTCAAATTGGTACAAAAACAAAACAAAAAAGCAAAAAACAAATAGCAAAACTGGAGTGAAAAGTGCTTTTGTTTTCCAAGTATTTGACTATATCAGATTTATATAATTAAAAATATAGGTGATATTTACCATAATTTTACCAAATGAATAACGGTTGAGAGGAATTTGCAACTTCCACAACAACTACACAGGCATTCGAAGGAATAAGAGTGAAAACCACCCCAACATTTTCTTACTTTAAATTCAGCCAACGCATACGTTTAAATAAATAAATAAATTCAACATGACTTTTCTCAAATGCTTATTCCCGTCTCAAAAGAAAAAAAAAACACACACACAACTTGTGATCCTCTAATTAGAGTGGCAGGTTGGACTTAGGAGCCTAGGTATGTGTGATGAATGCTCGGCATGTCAAAAGTGGTGAAAACAGAAGAAAAGGAGCGCTGTCGTACGGAGCTGACGGGGCGTGTTGGCCGGTTTGAACTATGCATAGGGTGGGGTTGTGGCCAGGGGTGCTGAGGTAGGAGGGCTTCAGTCAGAACTGGCCCGAGTCCCAGGGCTTAGTGCCTTCCTGCGGGGATGATTGACGGGGGAAGGAGCTGCCTTTCACACGCGCTGAATGGGTTTGTGACAAATGCCACCTGCCAGGATTAAAGTAATGTAGATGTGGACGGAGGCAAACACATTTCTGTCAAAGTGTATCAAAAATATGCCTTTACCAGCAAATGGCTGTGTTCCTGCAAGCTCCTTTTTTAACTTGTCATGTTAAAATAACCAGAGATAAAAAAAATAAAAATTAAAAATGTGTCTGACAAATAATTAAAAAATTTAAAAAAAAATAGCTGTAGGAAAATCTGCAATAAAAAAAACAAGTCAAAATTATGTTTTGTAGTTTCGGGGCTTTTCATACCCACGGGTTTATTCCAGGTTTAAATAGTTACGAAAGCGAGGGAATTAAATACTGAATTAAAATGAAAATGAAATTCAAAATACTTTTTTTGTTTTTTTAAACCTTGGGGTCGTGACCACACGTAGGGTCACCTTGTATTCAAATGGAGTCGCATCAAATGTCAAGTGATAAATAACATCTAATCTGGCTACTCTGCATTTGCAACAGAGAATAACAAAACCTGATCGAAAAACTAATTGTTCACTGAGAAAAAAAAAAAGTCTCATATGTATAAATACATACATACATACATACATACATACAGTATGTACAGTATATGTATAAATATACTGTACATATATACGCATATATACGTATATACATATACACATATATACAGATATACATACATATACACATATATACATACATATACACATATATACATACATATACACATATATACATATACATACATATATATAATGTATGTGATTTTCCCTATACAAATGAAGGACTTCTTATCTTTTACATGGGACATAGAACGAGGCAAATCGCTTATATCAGAAAATGTAATCGTTCCTAAAAATATATATATATATATCCATAAAACTGCAAACCTGCCTCTCTCCACAA